ACAATTGGTGGCTGACTAAATACTTTTCCCCCCCACTGTATATGACCCCGGTCCAGAGGTGGGCCAGATGTAGGCTGCCAAACAACCTTACAGTGGGGAAAAAAAGTATTTGGTCAGCCACCAATTGTGCAAGTTCTCCCACTTAAAAAGATGAGAGAGGCCTGTAATTTTCATCATAGGTACACGTCAACTATGACAGACAAATTGAGAAAAAAAATCCAGAAAATCACATTGTAGGATTTTTAATGAATTTATTTGCAAATTATGGTGGAAAATAAGTATTTGGTCACCTACAAACAAGCAAGATTTCTGGCTCTCACAGACCTGTAACTTCTTCTTTAAGAGGCTCCTCTGTCCTCCACTCGTTACCTGTATTAATGGCACCTGTTTGAACTTGTTATCAGTATAAAAGACACCTGTCCACAACCTCAAACAGTCACACTCCAAACTCCACTATGGCCAAGACCAAAGAGCTGTCAAAGGACACCAGAAACAAAATTGTAGACCTGCACCAGGCTGGGAAGACTGAATCTGCAATAGGTAAGCAGCTTGGTTTGAAGAAATCAACTGTGGGGGCAATTATTAGGAAATGGAAGACATACAAGACCACTGATAATCTCCCTCGATCTGGGGCTCCATGCAAGATCTCACCCCGTGGGGTCAAAATGATCACAAGAACGGTGAGCAAAAATCCCAGAACCACACAGGGGGACCTAGTGAATGACCTGCAGAGAGCTGGGACCAAAGTAACAAAGCCTACCATCAGTAACACACTACGCCGCCAGGGACTCAAATCCTGCAGTGCCAAACGTGTCCCCCTGCTTAAGCCAGTACATGTCCAGGCCCGTCTGAAGTTTGCTAGAGTGCATTTGGATGATCCAGAAGAGGATTGGGAGAATGTCATATGGTCAGATGAAACCAAAATATAACTTTTTGGTAAAAACTCAACTCGTCGTGTTTGGAGGACAAAGAATGCTGAGTTGCATCCAAAGAACACCATACCTACTGTGAAGCATGGGGGTAGAAACATCATGCTTTGGGGCTGTTTTTCTGCAAAGGGACCAGGACGACTGATCCGTGTAAAGGTAAGAATGAATGGGGCCATGTATCGTGAGATTTTGAGTGAAAACCTCCTTCCATCAGCAAGGGCATTGAAGATGAAACGTGGCTGGGTCTTTTAGCATGACAATGATCCCAAACACACCGCCCAGGCAACGAAGCATTTCAAGGTCCTGGAGTGGCCTAGCCAGTCTCCAGATCTCAACCCCATAGAAAATCTTTGGAGGGAGTTGAAAGTCTGTGTTGCCCAGCGACAGCCCCAAAACATCACTGCTCTAGAGGAGATTTGCATGGAGGAATGGGCCAAAATACCAGCAACAGTGTGTGAAAACCTTGTGAAGACTTACAGAAAACGTTTGACCTGTGTCATTGCCAACAAAGGGTATATAACAAAGTATTGAGAAACTTTTGTTATTGACCAAATACTTATTTTCCACCATAATTTGCAAATAAATTCATAAAAAATCCTACAATGTGATTTTCTGGAGAAAGAAATTCTCATTTTGTCTGTCATAGTTGACGTGTACCTATGATGAAAATTACAGGCCTCTCTCATCTTTTTAAGTGGGAGAACTTGCATAATTGGTGGCTGACTAAATACTTTTTTCCCCCACTGTATATGGGGCTACATTAAACCAGCTACTCTCCAAATAACATTCAAATACTCTGCTATTGAATTCTTAATTTAAACAAAAGAGAAGAGTGGTTGTTTTATATAAAACGGATTGTTTGGATCCTGGATACTTATTGGTTGATAGCAGGGAGTTATTCACCGGGTCAATCCCCGGGTAATATTGACAGTTCCATTTGAATTATCATTCCACTTCCCCACAGCCATGCCAGGCAATTCATGAACTACACCTCACCTGGAAAAAAAAAACATTATTCCCCATGCTTCTAGCCTATATATTGGTTTGCAACAGTTGGTGTTTGTCCAAACCTTGCTGCCTGCTTCTCCAACAATGTTGCATAATTTTTTTTTGCGATCTCCACTGTGCCATAGAGAATGAACGAACGTGTTCGGGCGAGACTGACAGCTTCTCTGAGCCAGGCGAATTCATTTATCAGGATCATTATAATGGATCTATCCAAAGAAATGGCAATAGAAACAAATGTAAAACTATCGAAAATGCACATAGTTTGCTGTCATTTCAGCTGCTTGGATGTAATTGTGTGCTAGATTTAGTTGGTTAGCTAGCAAATGAGAAGGAGCTAGCCAGCATAGCAACATTCTTTGCTTTGAATGGACGACCAGTCCGCTTGGCTGGCAACCATGCCAATAGCATGGACGACCAGCCCGTTTGGCTAGCAACTACAGAATCTCAGAACTACGGACTGGCTTATGCCCGGACTCCACTTTACGTCGGGCCTAAGAACAGCCCTTATGGCCGTGATCCACTAACCTTGATAATTCGGATAGCCACACTAGCTTTGCCCTCGTGGGTGCTTGCAAGCATGCTAGGTATCAACAGCTATAGTGAGCTTTGATTGGTAAATCGCGCTGAGAGATAGCAGAGTGTTTGCTTTCGGCAACTTAGGTCCCGCCCTGTTCACACTCCCTCGCCCATGCTTGCATCGCTCAATGCCCCAGCCCACTTCGCTTCCCTCTATTGAAAATGTAATGGGGATTCTGTTGTTTCATCGCCCGCATCGTCGATAGTGGATCTTGGCTGTTAGTCGGGGTGTTATTCACACGATAATCCCCGGGTTCTCATGCCTTATACCCCTTACTAAAAACATGTTGAGTGCTTTGAAACATTTGTTGCCGATAATGTCTAATTGATGTCGCATTGATTTTGCAAAAGCGTTTCGTAACGCTCGGACAGGAACATGGCGAGCTGACCGCAATTTGGCAACATGTTGATGTCCCAGACATATCTCCTGTAGCTCACGTTGTTGTTGATATTTTCCCGGCCTTTGACCACATATATTGTATTTCTATGGTTATGACATTGTGTATTTTCATGTAAAAGTATTGTTTATTTGGTCTTAAGCACATGGATCACTCTCTGCAACGTCATCAATAAGTGTTGCACCTATTAATCATCTCTCCTGTGCCTATATAATATCTAGGTTACGCCCACTGTAATCTTTTTTAAGCTTCTCTCGCCCTGATTTAGGTCTACAGCAGAAGGACACAAATGTCCCAATAAGTAAGGTCATAAGTCACCTAGGACCGTTTAAACAGAGTCACGCCCGTCGTGTAGGTTAGTGAAACCAATCTGGAACTGGGGCCTCTTTCTCTCCAATCCATCAACTTTCTCTCATCTTATCGCTTTGAGCCTTGCGGTTTCTGAAGTGTCTTCGGGTGGCGTTGGAGCAGAGTGTTAACAGTATTAATCACAAAGAGCAGAGCCTTAGACCTCACCCTGCTCTCCTCTGTATCGTGACCGTGGATATTTTTACCCTCTCTCCAATTCCACGGGTGGTGTGGAAACATACTGATGAAAGTGTAAGAAGTGTTGCTTCCCACTGACTGGACTTCCCACCGTAGGTCATCCAGCAACTGGCACACAAGTGAACTCAATGACACAAGTTCCCTTGTCTCATTTGATATAGCCCATATAATCTTAGGATTTTTGAGACATCTACTTTTACCGTGCCTAATTAGATCAAATCAGATATAGCTATATTGTATCATTAGATAAAGCTCTTGATGACTGCACAATAGAAGGACAAATCTAATGCAGTGTACAGCCAAACTTGTCAGTGTCCTGTGCAATACTCTTGTGCTAGGTGCTTTTATTTCCTCATGCCTAGATTACTGTAACTCTTTGTATACATGTCTCAGTCAGGAATCATTCCATCGTCTACAGTTAGTTCAAAATTCTGCAGCTCAGTTTTTAACAGGCACCAGAAAATGTAACCATATGAAATCAAATCAAATCGTATTAGTCACGTGCGCCAAATACAATGGATCATTGACTGTAGACTTAACTGTGAAATGCTTGCTTACGAGCCCTTCCCAACGATGCAGAGTTAAAAAATAATAATAATAAAACAATTGTAACAGAGGAATAAAAAAAACAAGAATGGAGCTATATACCGGGAGTACCAGTACCAGGTAAATGTGCAGGAGTATGAGGTATTTGAGGTAGATATTTACATGAAGGCAGGGTAAAGTGACTAGGCATCAGGAGATAATAAGAGTGAAATGAAGGACAGAGTTGCAGCAGCATATGATGTGCGTGTGTGTGTGCGTACTTGTGTATTTAAACACACCTATTTTAGCTTCTCTACACTGGCTACCAGTCACTTTTAAAATAGATTTAAATATTTTATTAATCACGTTAAGGCTTGGTTTAGCCCCATCCTATATCTCAGATATTTTATCTCCATACGAGCCTGGACGCAGCCTGAGATAGGCAGGGCACTGTTGACCATTCCAAAGTCTAGGTTGAAAATGAAAGGAGACTGGGCATTTGCCATTAGGGCCCCTAGACTTTGCAATGGTTTGCCAGAGGAGATCAGGCTTGTGCCTCTTTTTAAATCCCTGCTGAAGACACACATATATAAAGATGCTTTTAATGTATAATTAAAATTTATGATTTTCAATTGATGATTTCAATTTATGTTTTTCATTCTCCTTCCTCCTGTCTTTGTTTCTTTGTTAGTACTTTTATCTAATTTTATTATTTTATGAGGTGAAGCATTTTGTTACTTGTATTGAAAAGCGATGTACAAATAAAGTTGTTATTATTATTACTTGTTTTGATATATCATACTGTACAGGTATTTGCACATGGTGAAAAAGGGGTGCCCTGGCATTCCTGTGAGATCATGAACTGTTGGACTGGGGTCGTTAAACTCCCCAGTAACCCCACACAGCTGTCATTTCCTCTTCCTTCTACCCTCTCACAGCTGTGGAGAGATATACCACAGAGTGGGGGGTGAAGGGAATAAAGAGTGAAAGAGAAGGACAGAGAGAGAGTTGGGGGGTTGGGGATTTCCATGTTTAGACCTGGCCGGCTCTTCATACATAAACACTGCTGACTGGTCACAGCCAGTCAGAGTCCCACTATCTACAGGCTCTGTCCTATTCAGTCATGGAGAGGAATACGTGCTCAGCTCAGACTTCTGTACAGGTGGCTCAAAAAATGTAAGTATCATCTGTTCTCACTTTAAGTATGCCAGATCTAGAACAGTACACTGACATGATTATTACTTGTTGAAAGGTGCACCTCTCAACCTGTAACCTGGCTGCCCACTGACTTGTCAGTGAGACTCACCTGTTGCTCATAGCGAGTCACAAAGTCAATGAGTGGAAGCTTTGTACCTGTTGCATTCAACAATTTTTTTATAAGGAATTTTTTAGAGGAACAGGTCTTAATCAGAGGATATTAACCCTGTGTGTGGTTGTTAGCTAGCCTGGTGCCAGTCTCTTTAGCTAACATTCCACTCCTTGCCACTTCTTGTCATTGACAAAGAGACCGGCCTTTCTGCCATCTTCAAAAATGAACATTCTATCATTAATGAGCTTGAGGAGAACAGAGGAGCTGATCCTGATTCGATAACCCTCACAGCTATCCTCCAATCACAAGGATTATCCAAATATTATACAATGGGTGGGTCTTATCCTGAATGCTGATTGGTTAAAACCGCATTCCAGCCAGTGTCTATTCCACAAGTTACCACAGGCTAAATCTATGACGTTAAAATACGTATTTACTCTGTTCCATCTGACTGTGCGATCCACTGTCTCATCAGCCCAGCCAAGCAATTTATCAACTTGATGTCCACTATAAAAAGCATCTAGACATTATCTCACATTTCTTTTAGACTAACATTTAGTTTTCAACAGCAGAGATTTGTATAAACCTTGCTGTCTGTCTCTCCGACATTTGCAACATTTTTTCAATATTCAAATTCCATCTCCAGCTGTCCCATAGTAATGAACGTGTAGGGGTCGGGAATTGGGACAAGACAGACAGACAGGCAGGCAGGCAGCGTTTCTCAGCCAGTCAAAATCATGAATCAGCTGGCATAATTTTTATGGATATATACAAAGAAATGTCAATTGAAAAAAGGTCAAATTAAATAAAGTGCAGCTAGTTTGCCATCTTTCCAGCTTCAGTTTGAAGTGATTGTGTTAGCTGTGTTGTTGGCAAGCTCCTCTGAACAACAGTGTCCTGATGAGTGAGCACATTTTCTATGCCATTGTTATGGATGTATCCAAATAAATGTCTCTAGAAAACAGCTTAAACAAATGCAAATTTAGCTACTATTCTGTTATTCTGGCTGCACTTTTTGAAGTGACTGTAAGTTAGCCGTAGTTGGCTAGCTAGCAAGCAAGGGATAAGAACGTTGCCAGCCAGTATGGCAATGGAACATTTAGAACAAACGACTGGGTCGTGTCCATAGATACAGAACAAAAAGACTGAACGACTGGGTTGCGTCTCTAGCAACCGAACAGATAGAACGAACGACCAGCCAGCTTGGGTAGCAACCCTAGATTTATGTCGGGACTATATCTTGTGGAAGGCTGAAATAGTATGAATAAATTCATCAACATAACGTTTCCACTCCTTGCCTCTCCATGTCATTGCCAAAAAGACTGGCCTTTAGGCAATGTCAATATTCAAAATGCAGCTGGATTTATGGCGGAGTTGGTCATTGGTTGTTGGAAATAACATTATTTTTCCATAAAAATAGAATTAGAATTAAAACAAAGTCAAAAACAAACATTTAGCTGTTAACTAGGCAAGTTCTTGAATTTTTAGGCTTAAAATCAAACAAAACAGGTTTTGTGGTTGGAATTGAAAATTGTCAATCATTATTTGAATATTTTAGTAACCAGTTGTATAAAAGTGATAATGCCCTCAAAACCCGTATTTGGAGGATAAATTGGCACGGTTTGCCGGCCTGAGACGAAAAATACCCGTGCCAATATATCCTCCAAACACCTGCTTCTCGGCCATTATCATTTAATTGGAACTGGATCACATTTATTCCTCCACAGAACACGTTTGTATCTGGTTGCTAAGCAACCGTTTTTTGTTAGTCCAGACAATACCAGTCTGTCAAAAGTTGCTAGCTCAAACTAAATACATACTTTAATTCCAACCAAAAAACCTGTTTGGTTTGATTTTAAGCCTCAAAATACAAGAACTTGCCTAGTAAACAGCTAAATGTTTATTTTTGACTTTGTTATAATTCTAATTCTATTTTTATGGAAAAATAATGTTATTTCCAACAACCAATGACCAACTCCGCCATAAATCCAGCTGCATTTTGAACGTTGACATTGCCAGTCTTTTTGGCAATTACATGGAGAGGCAAGGAGTGGAATGTTAGCTAAAAAGTCTGGTACCCATACTAGTTGTTGGCCTCGGTAAAGGGAAACCAATTTATAGCTTGACCCTAACCTTTTTTTCCATGGCCAAAGAGGCAGGGTCTCCATGTATAGCTTGTCTGGCACACAATGAGAATGTGTGCATTATTTTAGTGCCTGCGGAGGTGAATGACAGTTTAGAGTTTCACACTGGGCCAATATCCACGCTCTAAACTGGAGCCACAACATTCTGAGAGACTTTCCTGGAGAGGATATTTGACAGTAAATACATGATTCAGAAAAGGAGCAATAATGGACAGATCTACACAAGACAATATTTATAGTACACTAACCTGATACAGCATATCCTATTGAATTTGACCGTAGGATATTTTATAGGGTCACAGTGAAGTACATGTAGTCCATTTGGCTGTAGACTATAGTGGCATGTCTGTTACATGTATGAGACCCATTCTGAGTCCTGCTGGCTGGGTATCCATGTGAACAGCCAGGGAAATGTCTAAAAGTAGTCTCTCCCTGTCTGCTCCCAGCAACCCGACACTGACTTAGACACAGAGGGGTCACATCTCTGCCCTGTGTGGGATCAGATATGCTGACAGTGTGTACAGTATGTTTACAGTATTTCTCTGTGTGTAAGTGTATTGGCATGTGTGTGTGTTTTTTGCAGCTGTAAACCTGGGACCTCCAATGGACTTGATAAGCTGAGTCGTTTGGAACAGCTGGGGCCAGAGGAGTCACTGGACAGAGAGGACCCCCGAGAATACTGCCATGGTTTGATATGGGTCTACTCACTCTGTCTTTCTCCTTACATGTCTTGCTGTCCTATAAACTCCCTTCCAGCATACACATAGTCTGTTTCAATACAGTAAATACAGTAGTTGCTGGTGTAATTACTATTTTCTATCATCCTGTGTGTTTCAATAGGGGGGTACCACCCTGTTCACATTGGAGACACCTTCAACAGGAGATACCAGGTTCTGTCTAAGTTGGGCTGGGGTTACTTCTCCACTGTATGGCTCTGCTTGGACCTCAGGTTCATTCACTATGTTGCTGTGTGAGCATTTACTCAAATATCTTCTTCTTGGCATGTAGGAAAAGCTCCAGTGTGAGTAAAAGAGTTTCTGTATGTGCAGGTTGGGCAGGCGAGTGGCCGTGAAGGTTTTGAAGAGTGGAGAAGGATTCACACAGGCTGGGCAAGATGAATTGACTCTGCTACGCTGTGTGAGTCTCCCTTCTTGTCTCTCTTCTCTCTCTCTCTCTCTCTCTCTCTCTCTCTCTCTCTCTCTCTCTCTCTCTCTCTCTCTCTCTCTCTCTCTCTCTCTCTCTCTCTCTCTCTCTCTCTCTCTCTCTCTCTCTCTCTCTCTCTCTCTCTCTCTCTCTCTCTCTCTCTCTCTCTCTCTCCTCTCTCTCTCTCTCTCTCTCTCTCTCTCTCTCTGATTTCTCACCTTAGTTTATTTACTGCTTCCTCTATCACTTTCTCATCCTCACCCCCTAACACCTCTCTAAGGGTAATAGGGCATACATGAATAACTAATTTTACTCTAAGTCCACATGTTATTTATGTCACTGCCACTTGTTCACATCCACCCCATGATTTCATGGTTCATTATTTTTCTCTCTTGTCTCATACAGACCCATCTCTCTCTATTTAAACAAGTACTCGACCAGTAGAGTCCGGACCCTGACTCTGACCTCTCTCACCCTCCTCTGCCCCTCTCCCCCTCAGGCCAGTGGTCCCACTGCTCGACACCTCCAAAGTCGGAGGATAGTCCAACTGCTGGATGATTTCAAGATAGCTGGGGTCAATGGGGTCCGTATCCTTCCTCAGACTGTATAGCCATGACACACACACAAACCTGCAGCAAAATATGACACCATAGGGAGTGTGTTTGGTTCCTTGACCTCCTGTGTGTAGACGTATGCCTAGTGCTGGAGCTGCTGGGACCAGACCTTCGCTGTTGGCAGATCTGTTTTGGAAATCCAGGGCTATCGCTGTCTTGGGTCAAACAGGTCATTGCTCAGGTAAAAGAGTGACAGAGTTCATAGTATGAGATGAGTAGAAACAGCTGGGCTGTCATTATCGAAATCACTACACTAATGGATGCATCTTTAGTTTGATGCAGGAGTTGTTTGGAGTTCACAGTGATCACTCTTTCCCTGTAGGTTCTTCAGGCGTTGGACTACCTGCACACTCAATGTAAAATCATCCACACAGACATCAAGCCTGAGAATATACTGCTATGTTTGGAGGAGCAGAACCCAAAACAGACAGCAGGGGGCAGTGTCTGTCCATACCTTCGGAAAGATTCCAAGTCAAGGCGCACAGCAGGTAGTGTTCACTGTTCAGCTACTGATGTTATAGAACTCTGGAAGGTCATATGACTGAGCGGACCAGATGATGAATCGGTTTACTGCACATGACACTTTACTCAAGGCTAGTATTCGGTCTCTATGTCACCTTCAGATTTAGATGTACTGTGTATTCTACTGTATGCCACTTCAGGTTGTCTGTGTCCAGTATGTTGTTGAAGTGTTTCAATCAGATCATAACCCTGTATGTTGTTTATCTCTTACTGTCTATTCAGAGAAGGACCTGGTGACTCCCATCAGTCTGAAGGAGATCACAGTAAAGATTGCTGACCTGGGAAGCTCCTGTTGGGTGGTGGGTATTGATCAGTCAGTCAGCAATAGTGGAGGTGCATAAAAATGGCTGCCCCCATGCACTTACTACAAATGCCTTGTTTACTAATTTCGTGTTGTACATTGCTCTATGTTACACTTTTTTTTGTATAGTCATTAGCACAGTAAACATGATCCTAATTTTAGCTCCAAGAAGCAGCCAATTTCAAAAACCTCAAAAGTAGATTGTGCTGATTTAGTGGTGCATGGAACCATGTTGCACGCCATAGTTTCAAAACTCAGTGGAGAGTGCTAAAACATTGACGTCATATCTGAATTCCGACATCTATATGAACCGTTGCCATAATTGAAGCTCCATTCATACTCAGTAGTTGGTTACAAAATAAGAGGAACTAATGTGGGATACTGCCCTGTGGTCCGGACCGTATTTCACACTGTGCCTTTGCTCTGTGTGACATTCCAGTACAAACATTTCTGTGAGGAGATCCAGACCCGTCAGTACCGCTCACTGGAGGTTCTATTGGGCTCTGACTACGGCCCACCAGCAGACATCTGGAGTGTAGCCTGCATGGTAAGACAGACAACCACCATACAACCACCATACAAGCAACACATCAGCAACAACACTTCTGTTTACAGCTTCACTGAAGTAAAACCATGTTATCTCCTGTCTCCTCTGATTCACTTGCATCACTTAACTCTTGTGCTGTTTAGTTACCCTTCCAGTCCACCAGCACTTTTTACATCAAGACAAATTCACCCACTCCTCTAGCACTAAGCTTTGTAGATAGATGCCACTCTAGAATAGTTCCAGGCAATTCAATTGTTCTTCTTTTTATTCTAGGCTTTCGAGTTGGTCACTGGGGATTCATTATTTGAGCCCATAGCTGGGAAGACATTTTCTTTAGAGGAAGGTAGGTCGATATTAGGCGTGACAAATATTGACATAGGATTCAGTGGAGATAACATTGTGTCCACTTTGTGACTTTTGCATAATTGTTTATCCAGTGGGGTTTTGGTTCTGTTCCCTCCAGACCACATTGCTCACATAATAGAGCTCCTTGGCAAAGTCCCAGCAGCAGTAGCCTTGTCTGGCAAATATTCCATGGAGTACTTCAATCGCAGAGGTGAGTGAAGGATTTGCTTTGAAAATCGTCAATAGTTCCAACGTAGAGAAAGGACTCTGATGTAAATGTTGCAGATGCTCATTTTGACAAATCATACCGTACTTCTTTAGTGAAGACAAACATACAAAGACTACAATTTATTTCCAAGTCACAAAGCTCTCTTGTATTTACCTCCTCTGTCTTACCTGTCTCTATCATGTATTCTCCCAGGGGACATGCGTCGTATCGGTGTGCTGCGGCCCTGGGGTCTATATGAGGTGTTGGTGGAGAAATACCACTTCATGCTGAAGGAGGCCTCTCTGTTCTCTGACTTCATGTTGCACATGTTGGACTTCCAGCCAGAGAGGAGGGCCAGTGCTGCCCAATGTCTCCTGCACCCATGGCTTAGCTCCTGAACCCTGGCCCTGGAGACTTGATAGCCCCGCTCATGGGGACCCCTGGAGCCAACTTGATACCAAGTTAGTAGATAAATGTGTTATATAAATGTGTTATGCAGAGACAAACACAGTGGTGCTGAGTCACTAAGACTACGGGAAGGATATACAGTATACATTTTTGACAATTTGCTCGAGGCCAATGTCTGTGAAATGTACTATTTTATGTTCATTTATTAAGTAAGACTAGATTTGTCTCTTCTGATAAATGTATGGGGCATTTGATTATCTGTAAAGTGTAATGAATGTATGAAGTATAAACTTATATAAGTGTGGTATGATTTACTGAAATATAGAGCTTGTGACTAGACTTTCCACAGCTGTGCTGCACACAGTGCACTGCGCCAATGATGCTACTGTATATTTGCAGTTCTTTTTTACAGCATGCAATAAATCACGTATTGCTAGAAATTGATTGTTTCCATTGTCTCTTTTGGGCTTACACCTGCATGCCTTTTATTTTTCGTCTACTAGTAGTTTCCCCAAGACGGTGAGGTCACATGGTTATGTTAGTTGATTATTCTGATCAGGGCTAGAGTAAATGTTATGTGTTTGCTTGCCAGATGCCGGATTTGTTTCACTAGATCTGTTCAACGCCAACAGAATAATAATCAAGCTTCACTGGCTCAGACTGAATTATATTTACGTTACATTGTAGTCATTTAGCAGACACTCTTATCCAGAGTGACTTACAGTTAGTGCATTCATCTTAAGATAGCTAGGTGAGACAACCACATTTCACAGTCGTAGTACATTTTCCTCAATAAGGAACGTATCAGCAAAGTCAGTGCTAGTAGTGCACATTAAATACATTTTGATCCAAACTAAATGTACCTTTAAACTAAATGTACCTTTAAATTGATATAATTATTCATAAGGTATAGTTTTCCATCTGTTAAGACAATAGGTTTGTTTTTGTCTGATTTTCAATAGAAGAAGGTCATGTCATTCTAGAGGTTATGTTGGAAGACAATATTGTGTATGGAAGAAGAACATCAGGGCTATGTAAGAGGGAGCTCTTTAATGGAAAAAGAATAATAACATTTAATTTACAAGCATATACATATGAAATATATACATTTCCTTAAGACAAAAAGATGCTGATGTTTTTACAACAACCAACCATTCATGAGCCATCTCCTTCTTGAGCGAGAATTAACAATAGAACAGAGCCTTTGGGTGTGAACATCAGAACAGATAATATCACTATCTGAATGAACTTATATTGAACCCAATACACTGGAACTGTATGCAAGTACAGCAATTAGGTCCTGGAAGAAAGACTATATTACACTTATTTCATTAGGAAATTATTTTGCATCAATGTGAAGCTGTACTGTAGATTTAACCGTCTCTGAAGGTGATATTGACAGTTCTTGCTGTCTATATATTGTGCAGACAGAGGCATAGAATGCTGGATAATCAACCGATCCAGCTATAGGCCCGACACTCCAGCTCTGGGCTGTGCTTGTAGACGACCCTGTAGCCACACTCTGTCATCAGCCGCTGACACTTATTAGGCCACGACGTGGGCTTATTTGGCCTACAGAACATAAACGAGACATGGGGTCTTTATGCAACATTAAACATGTGCCGGATGTGATAAACAATTGTTCATGATGATTGATTTCTTCAAATGGACAATTATGACAACAATTTCATGATTTGGCACAGTTTTACTCACGAAAAGCAGAAGAAGCCAAACTCGTGACAAAAGCACTTGTCACAGCCTCTCTGGAAGGACGCTCCCGCCTTGAAGAGCTTGTCTTTGTACGTGCATTTACCTGTTGACATGAAATGGAGATAAAAAGTTGGTTGGCATTTATTGTCATGAATCTTGCCCTGGAAGCAGCTCTGCAGAGTGGTCACTAACTGGCACATCCACAAAGTCATAAACCCTAACATTAACCACAGTGCTAACCCTAATGCTTAACCCTAACCTTAAATTAAGACCAAAAACCTATTTTTCATTTTCACTTTTACGATATAGACAATTTTGACTTTGCAGCTGGCCCAGCAAGCGGAAATCGCTCAGTTCTGCCTCCAGGGAAAGATGAATGACAACCTGCAGATAAAAAGGGTAAGTGACTGTTCTCATATGCCAGAGAGGACAGATGTGGTCGAAACATTTAGGCTTGATCCTGTATTTGCCCTCCAGTGTTGAGATCACACTTCATGGCTGAGTTCCTCTTGTCCCTACAGACAATAGGCTGGGACCAAAAAGACTCATGGAACAAACGTTTCACCTTGTGAGAAGCAGATCTAACATGAAGAGCCCTTCAGGCCAGATAAAGGTCAGATAAACACAATAGAGAAGAGGGGCAAGTCGTCCCATCATCGCCTGCAGCACCAGTCACTGTGAAACTGTTTAGCCATACATTAGCCCTGGGCAGGCAGGGGTCCTCTGCCATCCCACTGGAACAACATATGGAGCTAAGGTAGGCTATGTTACATTTTTTTCTAGTCTGATTCCATGATTTTGCATGGGTGCCAGTGGTACAAATACTGTGAGCAGAACAACATTAAGCTACAAAAGAAAACACACAAAAAAAAATCCACTTTCAAAATGCCATGTTTTTATCAGATCCCATTCCATTAAACATTCGGTATCACTGTTGTTATCAGAATTAGCAGCAGCTGTCAGAAGAGTGTGAGAGCAGTTCATACCTCTGGAGTGATACATGGAGGCCTGGGACAGACCACAGCTCCATAGGAGGATGAGAGACAGCAACGCAGTCCACAGCAATGACCATGATGAGGTGACCGCACTCCCCGGACGCAACATAACCATCCACTGACAAAAACTCCCTCCAAAAGAAGAGAAACCTGGATTTTCAATTATTAAAATGTTTCGCTTGGAAAAGTCTTCAACTAACTCTTCACACCAAGACAGCTGGGAAGGTGCCTGTTAAGATAACTAGGGAGCACATCCACCTGCAGCTACTGTAATGCCTTAGTGACAACCCAACATCTCTACAGTCTGTATTTATAGACTACTTCCCACCCGTGAACTCTACAAAAAAATGGGCTGAGGCATGAAGTAAAAAAAATGAATAGATTCCATCTGACCATTAGTTTTTCCTTTTTTCATTCCAGCCACTGATCTGCTTTCCCTTCTTCCACTCTCCCTCCACCTTCTGTTTCATGGTATTTGGGTTTGGCTGGCTAACCAAGCATCCCTGTAAATATTAAGATTGGCCCATGTGGTGTCTACAAGTCTCCTCTCCTCTGCTCTGTGTGGGTGAAGGAGCACATATATAAGTAAAATGCCCGTCATTACATTTTACATTTACATTTTAGTAATTTAGCAGACGCTCTTATCCAGAGCGACTTACAGTAGTGAGTGCATACATTTTCATACTTTTTCATACTGGTTTCCTGTGGCCATCTAGGGTTTCCTGTGGCTATCTAGGGTTTCCTGTGGCTATCCTTCATGCCGTCATGGCATACTGTGGTTCATCACAGAGCCTTTCTAGGATTCTTTCTTTCTCTCTGTCTTTTGCTCTCTCTTTCCCTCTTTCTTGCATGCACATGCACACACGCACGCAACACACGCATGCACGTATGCACGTGCAGACAACACACACACACACACACACACATTACACCCACACAAGGAGCAATGTCTACTATACGACTGTAGGTGCGTCATTATGACTTGGTGACAGAGGCAGACTGCGTAGGTCTTTCTGGATGAGATTGTCTCAAGTCAACACATTTAATTACACGGAGAAGCTGTCTGGGAGTGAAGTCATGACGTCGTTAAGGAGAGACTGGGTTATGTTGTTGAGGAAAACTAAACTAGCATAACATTTCAATGGTCATGGATACTGAGGGTGTTCAGAGGCATTTAAGAAATGGGAGAGTGGGTTTGAATGGAGTGAGAATTACATTGGTTACCTCACCTGTCTGAAACAGTTTAACTGTCAGGAAGTAGTTTATAGAGCTGTGTTGCATTTATTGCACTTATTACTGTAATTGTGAGGGCTTGCATAAATTAGTGGATCAATACTGTATGTAGGCTACTGTAAGCACAGTATGATTTCTAAGGGAACATTTTGTACTTTTCTGTGTATATTTGCTACAGTACATATGGCTTGAGACTGCAATAAAAATATAATGCAGCGTGGGAGCTCTATAGTGAGGGAGGAGAATTGTGGTAGATCCTTCATCGCCATAGGCTTAAACATTTATGCCAGGCGAGAAACCAATTCAGGAAATAATGAAACAATACAATTCATGTACTGTATGTTGTTGTGAGGCATTTCCAGAAAAAAACGTGTCAGAATGTAGGCCTACTAAATAATGTCTTATTTTTTCCACTCTTGTACAATGAACTGTATTGTTGTAAAGCCTTTAGCCACATTATTACGCATATACAATTATGTGCACCCACATTCACAGACACAAGGTGGGAGGGTTTAAGAGGTGTAGGTCTATACAGTGAGTTTTACAGACATCTGTTGTCTTATTAGGTTCCCTGTCTGTCTGTCTGCATGTCTGTCTGTCTTCCCACAGGCTGCCTGGCCAGTCAGCAAAGCTCGCTCTGAGAGAAAGGAAAATAAACGGTCCCAGAGTCTAAGGGACTGGATCGTGTGGTGGCCCTCTGACAGGCCCGTTCACCACTAGTCACCCCTCAACCCAGACCAACCAACATCACAACCGCTAAGACAACTGCTGCGATCACATCAATGTCAGGCTGGTGTTTTTTGTTGTCAGTCATGCTGGAATGTGAGGCAAACATCGTCTTGTTTTTCCCATTGTAAATGGGACTACGATTGCTCTACTTCCATCTATTGTGTAATTGCCAATATTGATGGGAGCAGGGCTGTGTTGACTTAACCTGTTTCTCTCTGACAGTAGGCCTACTGCGGTAGGTAGCTCAGAGGACCTCACAGTGAAGACCAGACTGATGACGGACTGTTATGACAGAGTGAGAATTTGTGAGGCTCTCTTCTCAATGCCACCATAGGAGACTCCATTCTCTATGGCCTTGACTTCCTCCTTGGTGACTCACTTCCTGTTAGAGGGGCACAGGATGCTCTATACACTGCCCCTGTCCAACACGTGTCATCAGGATAAGGATCAGCAGCTCCTGAACAAATCAAGACTAGCCTCCTCTGTAAGTAAAACATATTTATTTGACCTTCTCCAAATACTTTATAACTTTGTTCACACATTTTACTTGAAAATGTCAGATACAGTGCCTTCCGTAATTACTGGGACAGTGACAATTTATTTTGTTGTTTTGGCTCTGCACTCCAGCAATTTGGATTTGAATTATACAATGCCTCTGAGGTTACATTGCAGACTGTCAGTTTTAATATGAGGGTATTTTCATACATATCAGGTGAAACGTTTAGAAATTACAGCACATTTTAGGGGACCAAAAGTATTTGGACAAATTCACTTATGTGTATTGAAGCAGTCAAAAGTTTAGTATTTGGTCCCAAATTCCTAGCACGCAATGATTACACTAAGCTTGGGACTCTACAGACTTGTTGGATGCATTTGCTGTTTGTTTTAGTTGTGTTTCAGATTATTTTGTGCCCAATTGAAGTGAATGGTAAATAATGTATTGTGTCATTTTGGAGTCACTTTTATTGTAAATAAGAATAGAATATGTTTCTAAACACTTCTACATTAATGTGGATGCTACCATGATTACAGATAGTCCTGAATGAATCGTGAATAATGATGAGTCAGAAAGTTACAGACACAGAAATATCATACCCCCAAGACATGATAACCTCTCACCATTACAATAACAGGGGAGGTTAGCATTTTTGGGGCGGTATGATATTTGTGCGTCTGTAAAGTTCTCACTCATCATTATTCAGGATTCAAATACTCAAATATTCAAATATTCAAATTAAAGCTGACAGTCTGCACTTTAACCTGTATCATTAACTGTATCATTTCAAATCCAAAGTACTGGAGTACAGAGCCAAAATAAGTGCATCCTGTTTCCATTGATCATCCTTGAGATGTTACTACAACTTGATTGGAGTCCACCTGTGGTAAATTCAATTGATTGGACATGATTTGGAAAGGCACACACCTGTCTATATAAGGTCCCACAGTAACAGTGCATGTCAGAAGAAAAAAAACAAGCAATGAGGATGAAGGAATTGTCCGTAGAGCTCCGAGACAGGATTGTGTCGAGGCACAGATCTGGGGAAGGGTACCAAAAGATGTCTGCAGCATTGAAGGTCCCCAAGAACACAGTGGCCTCCATCATTCTTAAATGGAAGAAGTTTGGAACCACCAAGACTCTTCCTAGAGCTGGCCGCAGCCCTGACCAAGAACCCGATGGTCACTCTGACAGAGCTCTAGAGTTCCTCTGTGGAGATGGGAGAACCTTCCAGAAGGACAACCATTTCTGCAGCACTCCACCAATCAGGCCTTTATGGTAGAGTGGCCAGACAGAAGCCACTCCTCAGTAAAAGGCACATGACAGCCCGCTTGGAGTTTGCCAAAAGGCACCTAAAGGACTCTCAGACCATGAGAAACAAGATTCTCTGGTCTGATGAAACAAAGATTGAACTCTTTGGCCTGAATGCCAAGCGTCATGTCTGGAGGAAACCTGGCACCATCCCTACGGTGAAGCATAGTGGTGGCAGCATCATGCTGTGGGGATGTTTTTCAACAGCAGGGACTGGGAAACTAGTCAGAATCGAGGGAAAGATGAACAGAGCAAAGTACAGAGAGATGCTTGATGAAAACCTGCTCCAGAGCGTTCAGGACCTCAGACTGGGGCGGAGGTTCACCTTCCAACAGGACAACGACCCTAAGCACACAGCCAAGACAACGCAGGAGTTGATTCGGGACAAGTCTCTGAATGTCCTTGAGTGGCCCAGCCAGAGCCCAGACTTGAACCCGATCGAACATCTCTGGAGGGACCTGAAAATAGCTGTGCGGCGATGCTCCCCATCCAACCTGATAGAGCTTGAAAGGATCTGCAGAGCAGAATGGGAGAAACTCCCCAAATACAGGTGTGCCAAGCTTGTAGCGTCATACCCAAGAAGACTCAAGGCAGTAATCACTGTTAAAGGTGCTTCAACAAAGCACTGAGTAAAGGGTCTGAATACTTATGTAAATGTCATATTTCCGTTTTTATTTTTAATACATTTGCAAAAATGTCTAAAAACCTGTTTTTGCTTTGTCATTATGGGGTATTGTATGTAGATTGATGAGGCGAAAAACAATTAAATCCACTTTAGAATAAGGATGTAACGTAAAAAAAAAAGTGGAAAAAGTAAAGGGGTCTGAATGCACTGTATATTCAGAAAAGGATACAGAATTTTGACACATTTATATCATTGGACACTCATTAGAAAATGGGAAACTCTTATTTGATGTTGTTGTTGATGTTGTTGTTGTTTTTGTTGTTGGACCAGCACTCTATCAATAAGTGTTGCCTTCTTGTGATTAAGACATTTTACAAAGTGAGTGACTGAATGATCATCATCACATTTTCAGTGAAAATCTCACATTACATTACTGCTTCATTCAATAACACATACAACTAAAATGTGAGCAGAAATACTCAACAATCACATATACAGTATTATACTTCAATATACAAAACAATTCCACCGGTTATCATTGATACATTTTTCAAATGATGGCAACATATTTTGTCAACATTTCTGTGGGTAAGATACTTTGAAAAGTACAAACTGATTGAGACCAATATCTACAATCTTGATATCTAAAAATATTTTTAGATGCTATATATCTGTAATACTGTATCTATCCCCAGTGTCTCTTTTTGTGAGTGTCTGTAGAAGCTTCTAGAACTCTTCTCCCTGACTCTGTTAGCTGCCTGTAATTCACTGAGTTGAGTGATGGGACAAAGACATGACTCAGAGCTCAGCCTTACTTTGGAGCCAGAATAAAACAATTAGAGTCACTGGTTATGTATCCCATCTGTATTATAGAATCCAACATGCACCTAAAGGTACAGTAGTGTGCTCATTAGGTTAAGGTATGTGTGCTCATTGGGTCACAAAAGCTATGCTTGAAATCTTGAAGTGTCCCATCAGACCCAAGGCTCTATTCTGGAGGAACAGTAGTGTTTGATTCAGTGTACAGTAATTACTGTCTTACAGTACAGTACAGCTTCCTGAGAATCATCTGCCACCTAAAAACATATATTTAGCTTCTTAATTTACAATAACTGTGTACAGTGTAGCAAAGATGATGGACAATAAGTACAAATGTGTAGTTCTTCACTAGATGCCATTTGAAAATGTTCCTTTTAAAAGTTAGTAGAAATGCTGATTTTACATAGATTTTTACCAGGATACTTTTCCCATTGTGGGGTTTTAAGGTTAATTACACACAGGCCCACTGAAAGCCCATCTGGGCTGGCAGCCTGGCACAGTGTGTGTTGGTCACTGCAATGTGCCTGTTTGGACGGTGTGGTGGAGACCTGGGGCCCGAGTGTCTCAGTGCTGAGGAGCCCGAGGAGAATGCAGCATACAGGGCTTCCTTCTGAGAGATTAATGCCAAATATCACGTTTTCCTGTCATCTATCTACTGGATAATTTCTTTAATCTATCCTGTTTCAGTTTAATCATTTCAAAAATGATTTTCAAATTGTCATTGTTTACAGTAAATACCTTCAAAAAGAAACACCAAAAGCTTAGTTTTATAGGGTATATAAAATATTTACAAAATATTTGTTTTGTTCTACTTTATTCCACCTTTTGTACTCAAATCGTTATGCAAAGGGTAGAAATACACTGAACAACATTTTCATTGTTGGGTGATCTTGTTTCTTTGCCCAATGTACCAGTACCAATATACTTTATACATTACATTGTATGTACAGTACATTGATTCCCAGAGATGTCGATTTCTGTAAAGCTGCAAAATATAGTTCCTTTTGGGCACACAATATTTACAAATATTGTCTTTTTTTTTTTAAGTAGTGTTAATGCACTTTACAACATCATAGCGCCTTTGTAAAATATGTTTTTTCCCAGTTTTATAATACAGAATGCTGTACAGATGTAGGCTCTTAATTTGATCACCTTGTTGCAGGAGAACTTTCTTGTAATATAGGAAATGTTAAACTTGTAGTGTATCTGAGGTTTAAAAAGACTTCTGAAGTTTGTTATTTCCACTGAAATTTCAGACTTGATTTTCCCTTACGAAAAATGGATCAACCCCTACAAAAATGTCCATTATTTATTATCCACATAATAATTCACATTTCCTGTTGCTGCAGGATTATTTCCCTGCTGTAGCAAACTGGCTCAAATTAAGATCCTACATCTATACATGTGGTCTGCACATATAGCCTGATGACTGGATGACAGGGAGTAGAGGAGAGGGGGTCATCCATGGCAAAGATCCCATCAGTACAACCGCTGGACTCCAACATACCTTGGGTCGCTTCTTCTGTCCCGGACCTCAATCTAAGGGCAAGAAAAAAAGTATCACAACAGCACATCATGTAAGGATATTGAAATAATAACAATTATATAGCAATGTTTTACAATACACAACAATACAGTGCTTTGAACTTATTCAGCCAAACACATATTATACAAGACAGGACTAATGCGACAAACACACTGATCAATTTAGACAATAACTGCACCGTGCACAAAGCCATGACACTGTGTACTGTTCACTTACGAAGTCACTTACCCCGGACACAGCAAAATCTGCGAGAACAAAGTAAAATATTGTTGTAAACTGAATGTAAAAAATGTATACTGTAAATATTTTGTTGCAGCTCTGTACAGCACATACAATATTACACACAGTATAATCTCTATCAGTGAGTTAGTGCAGGGTTAATCAGATGAGTGGTGAGAGAGACACTGCAGATGATATATAGATACTGCCATATCCCACTGAAATCTGGTGAGTAACCATGGAAACCACTATAGAGAGTATAGTAGTATAAAGAAATCATGATACTTTGGCATTTCCCTACCAAACAGTGTAATCCTCTGATCAGACAGTTAACATCTTCATGAGTTGGCGGCAGGTAGCTTAGTGGTTAAGAGTGTTGTGACAGTAACTGAAAGGTTGCTGGTTCTAATCCCCGAGCCAACTAGGTGAAAAATCTGTCGATGTGCCCTTGAGCAAGGCACTTAACCCAAATTGCTCCTGTAAGTCGCTCTGGATAAGAGCGTCTGCTAAATGACTAAAAAAAAAATTTTTTTAATGAGGGCTCTATTACTTTTCTGTCATAAGACGACAGTGAGTTAGAACACTTCAAATTAGGTTCTGACATCAAGCTCTTCAAAGGTCCCCTGAACGAACGTCTCTCCGTTCTGATAACTCAATATGAACAGACAGGTCTGAGGCAATCCTGTGCAAACAGTGAGAACAGACTTTGGTGGACATTCCTACCCTCATTCATGCAGTTCCATGGTGAGTGCAATAAGTTACACTGATAGACTGAATAACAATATCAGATGTATTATTTTATAATTCTGAAATCATGTCAACCCTCAGAGCATGTTATGCAATCTATCTAATTTGTATACAGGAAAATCTATCTGACTTTGGAAACCAACGTACATGTTGATTAATTATAGATATGATGGGTTTTGGTTATTGCTTGTGTGCGTCTGAAATGGCACCCTATTCCCGACATAACTACTTTTAACCAGAACCCAATGGGTCCTGGTTAAAATAAGTGCACTGTAAGGAGAAAATGGTGTCATTTCAGACGCAGACTTGTCTTGGTCTAATCCATCCCTCACCTTTATTGTTGTCAGCCTTATGTTCCTCCAGGAACATGTTGTTCTGTCTGTTTCCCAGGACGAAGGCCAGGAAGGAGAGGATCAGGGCGTCCAGGATGCCGATAATAGCAAGGATGTAAGACCAGCGGACAGAGCAGTTACCCAGGGTATACTTCCCCGTCTCCTCCCCACACAGGTCCCGCACCACCTCTGCATCCCAGCCGTCTGGAAAGATTATACAGCCCAACACCAGGCATACAGCTGGGGGAGAGAGAGAAGAGAGAGAGGATGTTTAGGAGCTATAGTCTATGAAAAACATGGATGCATGATTCAAAAGGTAAACGTTTATTACATTGTCATCAAAAGACCAGTATAAATCATAGAGATGTATAGAGATCATTACATGTAAATAAGTGTTTTTTGCATGGACATTACCATTGAGGGTTTCCACCATTTTAAAGTAGTCAACTGAGTGGCGATTCCTATGGGTTGGGCGTGATCAGCCAATGATCAGAGCATTGTCTTCTTCAAATTGGTTTGCCTAGTTTGTAAATGGCTTTAAGCTATATGACCGCCATCTATTGGCCACAATAAATGAATGACACAAGATTTGGTTCCAGACTCCAGCACTGCAGATATTAGCTTTACACTTTTTTGAACTACTTTAAAATGGAGATAGCCTCAATGGCACTGTCCATGCTTTCACAGATGCCATACTTGGCACAGATACAACGTTGTGATCTCTATGGTCCAAATACAGTGTAGGCTATGTGTGTTGGATAACAAAATGCAACCATAATTGCTGTAATTGCAATAATGTTTTAGAGACATAAAGGAGACATTAGCATTGGCATGGAAAATCACATAGAAGTCATGAGTCACTTTTCTTTGAGTGAGAGAGTAAGTAAGATCCCTGTGCCTGGCTCTCAGGGGGTTGGTGAGATGGAAGAGGGTATTTTCTGCTGATGTTCCTGCTGCTGTTTATCTTTCAGCTCTGGGACTCTGGGTCTCTCTGAGTCCCCAACTCTCTCTCATTCTTCTGTCCCGGAGTGCCTGAGTCCACCACATCTGCCTCGCTGCTGCTGAGCTCACTGCAACCCCTCTGCTGATCCCATATTAATGAGCTTGTAAGACGGCCTCCCAGATGATATACCCAATACTGCTGAGCAGCGCCAAACACACGGCTTCCCATTATTCCCAAACACCAAACAGCTCATCCATCAACGACACTGAGCTCAGACAGTCCAGTTGATAACGATGGCATTATGCAACCGCTAACATAGACACATGCACTAGGATGAAAAGACATGAGCCTGAAACGCTCTAATAATAACTTTTCATCTTCCAGCTAAATGTAGAAATGCTAATTTACCCTTTACCCCCCCACACAATTCTATTGGAAGGGTCTTTCTCCTCCTCAGTCAGCCCTGTAAAGCTTCCCCTGAGGTTTGGTGAGTAACACTCAGCAGTGTGTGCTATATCCCTCCCCCTCCTGGCTGGCCTGCTGGCCTTCAGGCCCACTCACCCCCCTTTTATTTATCTGCCCCCCAGGTTGAAAATCATTGCACCACAAATATCTTGTTCTGAGAAACAAAATCCAAGCGCTTTGAAGTTGTCTTTTCTCTTCTTTTCCCCTCTGTTTCTCCCCCCTCATAAGATATTTCTGAACTTGTACAGAGAACTTCAAAGGCAGCAGCCAGGGAGAGGAGCGAGGAGGAGACAGAGCTACAGAGTATAGCGGTAGAGCTGGCCCACTTTTAGTTCCCTCTCTCTCTCTCTCTCTCTCTCTCTCTCTCTCTCTCTCTCTCTCTCTCTCTCACATTCCTGTTCTCCCTCTCTTTCCTCTCTCTCTCTTTTTTCACCTCCTTGCATCTCATCGCTTACTTTCACGACTAAATAATAAACTCCAAAAGACCCCAATTCAAAGGAAAAATTCGGAGCCTTTAGTGTCTGTATGCTACCATGTGTAGTGGACCTGGGCAGTTCGGTTGAGATGTGAGCATTTGAAGCAGCTCACGCTGTGTAACGAAGAATGTCACTACGAGCTCTGGGAGCTGTGGGCCTAGCAACACCATGGGGTTTATTCTCACACCCATCAGCTTGATGCCCTTTGACATTTGAGGGCAGTAATGTTGGCAAGCCAGATCTGGATCATTCAAAATATCCTGGAGTACAAAGGGCCACGAGGCTGAAAAGGCCTAAGTGAGAATTGCAAAACCCAAAAAAAATTCTGGAAGTAAAGAATGTGTAGATTATGGCTAGCCTTATGTTGTGGGCATGTGTTTAAACTGTTAGTAAATAAAATATGTGCTGCACTTTATACATCTAGTCATATTATCATGATGAGAGCTCTAGGCCCCATTTGATCATAATTACTCTGGAGTGGTTTCTTCTCTTAACCATTCAAACGCAATGTTGTGTGGCCCCAGAGCTACAATAAGTCAAATGAAAGTGTCAAACAGTCTGTCAAGTGCTGTAATTGAATAATCTCAAATGTATACCATATGCTTTGAAATGAGCTTTTAAAACATGCTACAATGTCACTCAGAACACAAATTATCTCTCTCTACGTCTCTTCCTGAGGCAGGGGAAATGCAGAAAAGGAGAAGAAGGGCCGGAGGTCAATTGAAAGGCCGGAGGTCATATGAAAGGCAGGAGGTCATATGAAAGGCAGGAGGTCATATGAAAGGCAGGAGGTCATATGAAAGGCAGGAGGTCATATGAAAATACAGTCTGCCCTGTCGGTGTCAATGACCTTAGTACAGTTTTAATTAAGGAGACAATAGAGAAACACCTCTAAGGGGGAAAAGGACAGCTGTTTCTATTCCTCTCCAAGAGGGTAATTCAATTACTATCAAATGTATTTTTGTGATTTGGCAATCAGGTTAGAAGCCCAGTTCTGATACCCTTTTGTCAGACTTTGGCATTGTTGTTTTCTCTTCGCTTTCTGTGTTATTTTCTCTGAATGGACAAACACACTGTCAAAATACATATTTTATTTTTTTGTCATTTTAGCAGACACTCTTATCCAGAGCGACTTACAGTTAGTGAGTGCATACATTTTCATACTGGCCCCCCGTGGGAATCGAACCCACAATCCTGGCGTTGCAAGCGCCATGCTCTACCAACTGAGCTACACGGGACTGGACAGACTCACATGGGGTGGTTGAGTTACAGTTGAGTTACAACTTCTAAATCACTCTGGATTACAGCATTATTACACTGTTAAAACCCATTTGGAACTTTATGATTGTGGGTGCTTTTTCAGTTCATACTCACAAGTTACTTTTAAGAAACTGTAATGAAAACGTAACTAACTCCTGAGAGTGTGAGGTTTTCAGCAGTGGAGACACAGTGGTTTGGGTCTGTATCATCTGTGTGATCTCGCAGACCAACGTAATGCAATAAATCATCTATCCTCTGCCACTGGCCAGCCCCAAACCTTGGCAGCCCTTAAATCAACGCTGAGAGGGCAATCTGTTTCATTATTGGTCCGTCTGTTGCTCCACTTGACTGGCGTTCCCTTTTTTCAAAGTGGCTCCTAAGTCTGGACCTGAGGTGTCAACTCATTCAAACACCTCTGTGCCCAGCTCTCCACCGTTCCAAGTCAAAGTCGCAACACATATGCTGTCAAGTGCCCAGCTCCAGTCCCCTGGGTACCCAGCAAGGTGGGAAAAGTCAGGGTGGGCAATATAAGGTTACCCTAACTATTCACTGACACACCCGAAACCACAACTCCCTCTGTTTTAGCTACTCACAATCACCCCTTAAGAAACTATCAGGAACTGAGTTATTTTCCCTCCCTGCTTTTTGAGAATGGTTTTCAGTGAAGCTAAGGAAAAGCCTCCAGAATGATTATAAAGCCTGAGCAAGTGAATCCTCTCATTTTTATTCCAATCTCTCTCTCCGTCTCTCTCTCTCTCTCTCTCTCTCTCTCTCTCTCTCTCTCTCTCTCTCTCTCTCTCTCTCCTCTCCTCTCTCTCTCTCTCCTCTCTCTCTCTCTCTCTCTCTCTCTCTCTCTCTCTCTCTCTCTCCTCTCTCTCTCTCTCTCTCTCTCTCTCTCTCTCTCTCTCTCTCTCTCTCTCAGGAGGGACAATGCAAATATGGGTCAAAAAGAATACATTATTCACTCGGCAGATTATTTTTAGTAGGGCCCCGTTGACTTTGGAATTATTTATTTGCGTCTGATAATTAAAACATGTGCATTTCAGGGAAGCCTGGGCAGAAATCTCAGGGCAAAGAGAAAGCATGGGATCTCCCGGGATAGACTCTCTCCTTTATTTCTACTTCTGTTTATCGACGTGTTACACCTCCTTTTGCAAGCTTATGGAAAACACTTGCACGTACATGCACTTATCCACACACAATCGCGCACGAGCATACTCGCGCATACACAAACACATACACAAACACATACACAAACACAGACACAATCACATACGCTAACACATACACAAACACATACTCAAACACATACACAAACACAGACACAATCACATACGCTAACACATACACAAACACATACACATACACAAACACAAACACAGACACAATCACATACGCTAACACAGACACAAACACAGAAACGCAACGCAATTAATTTTTTCACAAACAGCAAAAAAGGGGCCAACTTGTAAACGAAATGGAATCCTCCTCATCAATTCGGCAACCATGCACACACACACACACACGCATGCACACACGCTCGCACACACACACACACACACACACACACACACACACACACACACACACACACACACACACACACACACACACACATACACACACACACACACACACACACATACATACATACACGTAGAACACTTTTACAGTAACACAGGTAGAACAAAAAAACATGTTAACACAGGGAAAAACAAAACACCCCTGCTGGTACTGAATGAATGGGGGTATTAAAGTGAGGAAGCCATCTCCCTGAAGGGGACCAGAGGAATAAGATCATCATAATGAGCTGCCTCTCCTGTTATATAACATCTCACACATGAGGCTGACATACATCAAACACCACAGAGACACACAGAGAGAGAGAGAGAGAGAGAGAGAGAGAGAGAGAGAGAAGAGAGAGAGAGAGCGAGAGATAGAGAGAAGAGAAGAGAGAGAGAGAGAATTAGAGAGATGCGACGAGACTCTCGCTCTCGTCGACGAGCTCGACTCTGATGAAGGAGAGAGCGATGAGATAGAGGGAGAGAGAGCCGGAGAGGAGGAGGACGAGAGAGAGAGAGAGAGAGAGAGAGAGAGAGAGCTTCTCATCTCATCCAGGGTATGTGGAAGCAGATCCGCATTTGGTTTCATTCTGTTCCACTCTCCATTGTGTCAACGCTTGAACTTGTTTTCTATCTGATTAGAGGTCAACTTAAACATGAAACCATGAATGCTTGTTGGTACCATTCAGTAATATACAGCACTAAAGCTTGTTCCTGCTATTATATTCACAGCTCTGCTACCTTTGCCTTAAAGTTGGATAATCACCTGTATATTGTCTGGCCTCATGTGATCAATAAAATACTACAATGTACACTTCCTGTAGAATCTGCTGCTTCATTTTGTCAGCCTCTCAGCCTCAGGACCTTGCTCAGGGACAGAAACAGTAGAAGAGCTTAAAGAGACATTTCACTCAAAAACTATATTTTGGTATTTTCTGCATCATATGATGCATTTTGCATCATCATGATGATGTGGCCAATGACACTTTGCTTCTCTTAAAAGTCCAATATCTTGATAACTTGACTGCTGACATGCAAAACATTTTGGGACCGTATCAACAGTGGAATAATGAAGAAAATACCAAAAGATAGTTTTTGAGTGAAATGTCTCTTTAAAAGAAATATGGTATTCTGCTGCAGGAGTAGCTAGTTGTACACTGAGTAGAGTGGAGCAGAACGCCAGGCAGTGTCATACTTAGTTCTGTTTAATATTTCAGGGAGACAGGGTCAGGACATGAGTGGAGAGATGAGATGATGGAGGACCTATGGGAGATGGGGTGTAGAGTTAGAAACCACTGGCTATCCTCTTGTAAGTTATGTGCTATTATTTTTGGGGGACACATACATTTAGCATATCTTTTATTTCTGGGAGACCAGCTATCGTATACATTTGCATGGCCTTTTGTTTTTTTCAATTTCGGTCAGTATGCTATCCATCCCTCTCTCGATGTGTTTGGCATGGAGT